GGAACTAGGCGGAGATGACGGGAGGCGCGCGGATGCCGACGTGGAAGGAGAGGGAGAACAACAAGCGGCGCGAGCGGCGGCGGAGGGCGATCGCGGCCAAGATATTCGCCGGACTCCGGCTGTACGGCAACTACAAGCTCCCCAAGCACTGCGACAACAACGAGGTGCTCAAGGCCCTCTGCGGCGAGGCGGGCTGGACGGTTGAGCCCGACGGGACCACCTATCGCAGGGTACGGATTTTGATTCTTATTTATTTATTTTAAATTAAATTTATTTATCGTGAAAACGAGGATTGGTGCAGTGAGGGAATTACATGTTGAAATTCAACCTACAATTTTATTTATTTATTTATTTATTTATTTTTGTTTATCGAATTTATATCGATTATCGTGTATTTTTAGACGTATTTTTCTTGGTTAAATGCAACAATTTTTTTTTTTATGATTTGTGAATGTTATTGGGGGCTGTATTTAATATTTTAATATTAAAAAAAAATGTCTTACTCTTAAAACTTTTGAGTGATAGTTGAATTTTTCCATTTTACTTTTTTACAATTAAGTCAGAATTAACGCGCAATTTGCATAATTACTCATTTTTCTGCATTTGTATATTTTAATGGCCTTCTTTGTGTGTTTTCTTATTTAAAAAACAAGGCATGGAAAATTATTTTTTTCTTTTTGTGTGTGTGTGTGTGTGTGTGAGGACAAACTTCAGTTAAGATTGTGGGAGCATCTTTTCTGATGAAATCTACTTTAACCAACTTTCATTCTCTCTTCTCTTATGATCTTTTTTGAATGTCACACTGTGTTACATTTTGATTAAAAAAGCTACACTTTTTTGAAATAAATAAAAATATGAAAGTGTGTATTTTATGATCAGTTTATTGAAAAAAAAAACTATATTCAAACAGAAAAGGATATTTTTGCTTTTCCTTTTGCCTTTCACATTTTGGTGCTGGGCTTTTAGTAGAGCAAGTGGGGTATAGTGTGTTGGGCCCATTGTCAACTTTAATCATACATCAGCCAGTATCAATGGGCCATGTCTCAAGGCTGAGAAGTTGGGGCTAGCTGCTTAAAATCACTGCAACAAAGCACATGAACCTGTTGTTTACTAATGCTAGGTTAAACTAGCAAAGAATAAAAAGAAAAGATGATCTTTTTTTTTTTTACTGTGTTGTGTCTTGTGAGTTGTGAGTGACTTTTGGCTGGCAGTGTGTCATCATTTAAGCTGCATGTTACCAGCACAATGATGGTAAATTCCTTCATTTTACTAGCAGAGATTTTTTCTTTAAATTCTACTACAAGATATAGCTAATAAAGAGAAGGAATGAAAATTGAAAAGTGAAAACACCCGAGGTTTTGAAAATCTATACTTATATTAAAAGGAAACCTATTTACTAAATATAGTAGGTAGAAAAGTCAACTTTAATTAATGAACTTCTAATTTTATCAAGTAGTAATTAATGCATTTATAATTTTAATCAAGTTTCCTATTTTACATATTGTTTTTAATCCTTCTTATCTTCACATAAAAAAATCCCATAAAATGGGGTGAGCAAAAACAATCAAAATTCTGTTTCTAAAAACTACAAATCAATATTACGATTTTGAATAATACACTAATAAATTATAATATATTTTTATAAAACTTAGAAAAAACTATTAAAAAAACTTGGTTCGTATATTTGTATGGATATTTATATTTTTTTAATATTATCTTTGTGTTAAAAAAAACTATTTAACACTTTATTTTTTATTATATAATAAAATAATAATTAAATATTATATGATGAACAAGAATAAATAAAACTGCTACTTTTTACTTATATCAAGGGATAAATTTATATACTGAAATTAAAGTTTTATTAGTATAAATATTTTAGTGAGATAATATATTAATTATTTTACATTCTAGCTCTAATATACTCTTTTTTTTTTTGTCGAAACGGCAGGAAATATATACTCATATTTAAGTTCTGGCTAAAAAACAATGCTGGTTAAAAGATATGAAAAAAAACATATAACCTTATTATTTTTTAGACTTAACGTTGATTAAAAGAGATAGAAAATACACTATTACTTTTAAGATTTAAACGGACAAGGCTGTTAAAATAACTCATTTAATATCTATGTTCCGTGCATCGCACGGGGTACGTACTAGTTACAAATGATAAGATGTATAGTGTCTTTAATTACATATTTACATGGGAAAAAAAAAAAAAAATTGTTAGGTGATATTGTAATATTTTAAAAGCACTACTAAATTGTTCACTTAATTAGTAACTCTAGTTTGGTGGGTTCATTCAAAATCAGAAAGTGGCTTATGGTAAGGATATATAAACTTACAGAATCACTAGCATTTGAATGTAATGTGATGCACAGTTCAGAAATATCAAATTTTGAAAAATTTACAATATTTTTTGTACAAATTTAATATATATACATAAAGTTTTCTTGTAATTCATCTAGGGATGCAGACCAACCGAGAACTTGGAAATCGGGTCCTTATCCACGAGCCCGTGCTCGTCCTACCAACCGAGCCCCCACACCTCATACAATCCGAGCCCTGCCTCCTCTTCTTTTCCGAGCCCTGCCTCGTCAGCATACCCTCCCTCCATACTTGCCGATGGCAACTCCCTTATCCCCTGGCTCAGAAACCTCTCCTCGTCATCCTCCTCACCCGCCACGTCAGCAAAGTTCGGCCACCTCATCCACGCGGGCTCCATCAGTGCCCCTGTGACCCCTCCCTTGAGTTCCCGTACCCCACGAGTCGGCCTCGATTGGGATAACGGGCCCTTTGCACGGCCCGGGTGGGCTGGGCCCAAACGCCAGTTCCTCCCTCTGTCGACTCCTCCGAGCCCGGGCCGGTGGCTAGCTGGAGCCGAGATCCAGCAAAGCGGGCCAGCCTCACCGACTTTCAGCCTTGTCTCGGCAAACCCGTTTGGGTTCACGGCGAAAGATCTGTCGCGGGCCGGGCCCATGGTGATGTGCACTCCGGGCCAGAGTGGGACGTGCTCCCCGGCTGTTGGCCCAATGGCTGACGTGGGCCCAAACGAGTTTGCATTCGGGAATGACGTGGCGGTAGGCCTCGTGAAGCCATGGGAAGGGGAGAGGATTCACGAGGAGTTTGGGTCGGACGAACTCGAGCTCACTCTCGGAAGCTCGAAAATGAGGTAGAGTTGTTAAATTTTCCCATGTATTAAGTATTAACTATATTGTTGAAGGGTTGTAAGTTGAAATCGAGGTAGAGTTGTTAATAAATTTTCTCATGCATTAACTATATTATTGCAGGGTTCTAACTTGTAAATTGTTAACTCATTCTTGAAAAAGATGCATTATAACTCAAATTGTTGTTGCAGATGAATAAGGCCTGTTGCAATTAAGAGATTTGAGACTTGATGATGGAAAATTCCACAAGATCTAAGAGAGCCTATTATGTTTTTTTTTCTTTTCTTTTATTTTTAGTGTGTAGTATTAATGTGGTGACCAACTAGGCTTGTTCCTCTTTTAATTCTGTAAGAATGTAACCTGACAAAATTCAAATTACTGTGTGGTTCTTGAGTTTCTTGGCAAGTTTTCAGCAGCCATTAAAATATTAAGCATGTCTTTTCAATATGATCATGTACCTTGTTCTATAGCTCATTTGCTCCTTTTCTTTCTCTAAAATAAAATCTGAATACTATATCAAGTTCTTGGTCAAATCCCATCCTATTGACGAGACACTGATCTCATTGGGTTTTTATTAATGTTAGATAACTCCAAATCATATTCAATCCACGTTCACATTACAAACTCCCTGTGGGAAGCCTACTGGCCGAGCTCTCATCTTTGCTCTCGAGTGAAACCGACGAGTCGACCCACGACCCCTATCGAGACCCCATCTTGAGAAATCTTGGAGACGCGCATTTGGCTATCTTGAGATAGCGCCTCGTAAGCTTTGAATCACATATTCTCACTCTTAACGAGCGGTGCTTGCACCTTAGCTTTCCCTTCGAGCATGCTCACCAGTCACTACACACGACATCATGGGCCTCAAAGTCGGGGATGGGTTTGCACACAGTAGGGACAGGTTTAGCATCTTCAGCTCCCCGTCCTTCGAGTAATCCGTGTTGGGAATTCCTAACACACCGAAAACTCCGCCCAAGATCCGCTGGAAATAATAAAACTGGAGAACACAAAGTTTAACGTGGAAAACCCTCTGTTAACGAAGAGGGAAAAACCACCAGGACAACAAGGCCGTAGAAAATCCACTATGTAAAAAATTACACAATTTTTCTACACTCACTTATACCCAAAAGTACCCCACATAATTTTCTATCCGTTAACCTTAACTCTCACCCTAAGGGATTTTTAACCAGAGATTAATTGTTAACACAATAACTCTGTGGGATGATTTTACATAAGAGGTAGCACCTTCTTATATAGGGGAAAAATTCACTCCTCTCTCATCCCACTTTCAATGTGGGACAAAAGAGCAAAAACTCAACAAACTCCACCTTGCGATTTTGGCCCATCTGTCAGCCACTATTCACTTTGATGAAATTTTTCATAGCTTTCGCTATCATGCTCCACCATAAAAACATATCCACTCGGACTCGCATCCAAGTATTTCTTCGGCCCATGTCGAAATAACCTTGCTGAAATCTATGGTGCAACTTCCACGTTTGGCATTCCTAGAAGTTCATCAGCCCTCGACACGCTTTTTCCACCACACACCATGCATCACCGCCAAACCAATGCCCGTGTGTAAACTGTGGACCCGCTAATTGTAACAAGTCCTCTTTCATGACACTTAGCGACATGCCATAAGGACTCCCCTTTCTCTCTTAGCAAAACTCATCCATGGAGAGAGAGACAAAATTAGCTTCTTCGGTATCTCCACTTACCGACTTCGAGCTTTTTGCCGAACCTGCTCCTCCTTTCGGACAATTTCTTTTCACGTGCCCAGATTGTCCACACGTCCAGCAAATCACAACTTGCTTCTTCCTGGAGTTCCTCTTCTTTCCGTCACCGACGAGCATGACTTGACCTTCCGGTGAATTGTTTCGTCCACCGTCTAGCCTTCTCTCTTCCGCAAGAAGTTTACCAGTGACTTCAGAAAATATAATTTTCTCCTTCCCATGAATCAAGATCGGCTTCATGTGTTCATAAGAAGTTGGAAGAGACCAGATGAGTCTCAACGCCTGATCCTCATCATCAATCTTCACTCCAATGGATTCCAGCTCCGAGACGATTCCATTGAGAATGCTTAAGTGGTCTGAGATGCTTTGACCTTCAGTCATTCGCAGTGTGTGAAACTGCTCCTTCAGATACACCCGATTTGAGACGCCTTTAGCCTGATACAACTCCTCAAGCTTGTCCCATAATGCTTTTGCCGTCGAAATTCCATGCACATTAGCAAGAACATTCTTGGCCAGACACAGTCGTATCGCGCTTGCCGCTCTCAAATCCAGTTCCTCCCAATCTTCATCGCTCATTCCAGATTTGCTCACACCAGCTTTTTCTTCAGTGCTGCTGGTAGCACTGCCTTTGGGAATTTCCGAGCCCTTCAAAGCTTTGTGTAACCCCGACTGAATCAGCACGTCCTTCACTTGCACTTGCCACAAGCCAAAGTTGATTTTTCCGTCGAATTTCTCCACATCAAATCTCGTCAGATTCGATATCTTATTTCCAGACATCTTCGTGAATCAGTGAACACTAACTTCGCAGAAAACCGAGCAGCAACCTTTAATAGTACTGATCAGATAAATTCTCAGGGAGGGTAGCGACCTGCCCCCTAAAGAATTACCCTTCTAAGTAAGCTCCCAGGAAAGGCTGGTGGGGTCACAACGGTCCCACTTAAAAAACCAGTCTCCTAGACAGAACCTACTTACACAGTAATTATTCCCCACTGCCCAAAAAACTCCTTTGCACACAAGCTCCACCCGTCACTGGCTCCACTGCACGAAGAGACCTCTTTGGTATCTTTTCTGATGTGGAAGATCAAACAAAACTGCAACCACAGAGCATACTCAGAATACCAACTAGGCTAACCTCGCTCTGATACCACTTGTTGGGAATTCCTAACATACCGAAAACTCCGCCCAAGATCCGCTGGAAATAATAAAACTGGAGAACGCAAAGTTTAACGTGGAAAACCCTCTGTTAACGAAGAGGGAAAAACCACCAGGACAACAAGGCCGTAGAAAATCCACTATGTAAAAAATTACACAATTTTTCTACACTCACTTATACCCAAAAGTACCCCACATAATTTTCTATCCGTTAACCTTAACTCTCACCCTAAGGGATTTTTAACCAGAGATTAATTGTTAACACAATAACTCTGTGGGATGATTTTACATAAGAGGTAGCACCTTCTTATATAGGGGAAAAATCCCCTCCTCTCTCATCCCACTTTCAATGTGGGACAAAAGAGCAAAAACTCAACAATCCGAGCTGAGTGTGGGGTCCACAAGTTCCAGAAGTTTTTCGTGATCTTTGTTCCCTCGTGAAGAGCTTCACGACTCGACGAGTCGCGGCGCGACGCCTGGTTTGTCCCCTTCCCTCGTGAGTGTTCTCGCGGCGCGACGGACTGCTGCTCGGTGGTTGGTGTTGCATGGGATTGGGCCTGCTAGGCCGTTTTCCTCATGCGGTTGTGCTCGGTTGGCCTGGTTCACATCAAACGCGTATAGTATTAATGCGTATACTAATCCCAACAATTATCATAATATTTGAATGAAAAAAAAACATAACATTTAAGAATTATTTCACGCAAATGTTTAATATAAATATGAATATTTAATTAATGAACTAAAAAGTAAAAGCAAAAGGTAAGTCATATTTTAAATTTGAGTATGTATATTTTGATTAATTCTTTTAGTTTAACAACGATTAAATTCTAACGATTAGATCTGAGGTTTTTATTCTTTAATTTAAATGGCAAATACCGATAAATAATTTATATATTTGAACTTGATTGATAAATATTGCACTATTCAATTTAGGACTTTGCATTTTTGAACTATTAATTTGAAATCATTTTCAAAAGTTTTAGCTTATAGTTATCATTTGAAAATATGACTCTAATCTCTAAAATATACAAGTTTTTTTAATATTTGATTATTTAAATATCGTTACAAAAATATAGCGTACAACAACGTAAAAAAGTGTGTTATTTCATAATTTTACGTAAGCTTTTCGAGAAAACGCGAAATATATAACGCTACGTCACAGTTTTTTTTTTTACAAAAACTGCTACAATGCGCCATTTAAATGTACTTTTGCCATACATTGTTTTAATTTATTATAACAAGTAACTAGTACAACTCTCGTGTATTACACGGGAGCTTGTTAATTTTTTTCTTAGAATCTAAAATAAATGAGAAAAAAGTTGAAAATTTAAATACCTTTTATAAAAATATATATTATTATATATTTAGTATGACATTTTTTATTTGTGCGACTTGCCTGTGTTATATTATAATATTTTTTAACTTACAACATATAACTACATTAAACATAAATATATCAATTGAAAAATAATTTTATTTTTCTAATGAATTTTATAAATATAATTATTTTTTATTATCATAAATATAAATATAATTTATTTATTTCAATATATACAATATGGATGTCAAATCGAAGATCATCAAAAGATGATTAATTTGATATATTATATATGTAAAACCGATAAGAAATACAAAAGTTATCAACTTTTAAAATATATTTACAATTCAATAGCTAATTGAAGGAAACAAATCAAAAGTCAGGGATATATTAGTCACTTAGTGACTCACTATATAAAATTACAAGAAATTAAAGGGTTATATTAGTACAAGTGATATTAAAATACTAAGGTAGCTAAATAATATTTATGGAATATATGAAGCTAGATTATTAATTATTAATATATCAATATTATTTGTCCAAACCTAATTACAAAGCATGATTCTTCGCCAAGTAGAATTCCGAAGCATCAGAAGCAGCCACGTAGGTTCAGCGCATTCGAAAATTATATATAAGGAGGATTGTGTAAGGATGTCTCTTTTTACTAGTAACTTTTAACAATAGTAATTAAATAGATGTCCAAAAACAATAGTAATTAAACAGCTGTCCAACTTTTGGTTATAATAAAATATATATATATATACTATATACAAAAAAACATTGCAACGAAAATGACTATATAATTAAAAATAAATGCCATCATTCTTAATTTGAAAAACTTGACTTTGGTGGTAACTTTTTCAATGATGGATGGCATGGAAAAATTTTCATATAAACCAAACTCAAAACTCATCCATTGGCCAAAAGGAAATCAAATTATTAGTACTGTCTTATTTCAGCATTTCGCGTAAGCTTTTTGGGAAAAATGCTAA